TGTGGTGTGTGTGTGGAGGGGGGTGTGTGGTGTGGTAGTGTGTGTGTAGTGTGTGTGTGCAGTGTCTGTGTGGAGTGTTGGGGGTGATGATGGTGGTGATGATGATGATGGTGGTGATGTTGTTTCAGACGAAGACGCGATGTCAGACGAGGAGGACCTGGAGGTGAGATAAACATCACCATCACCACCATCACCACCATCACCACCATCATCACCACCACCACCACCATCATCACCATCACCACCATCACCACCATCATCACCACCACCACCATCATCACCACCACCATCATCACCACCACCACCACCACCCCACCACATCGCCACCACCACCACCATCATCACCACCACCACCATCATCATCACCACCATCACCATCATCACCACAACCACCACCATCACCACCACCACCAATATGTTGTTGAGGGTGATGTTGATGTTGTTGATGGTGATGATGTTGATGGTGATGATGTTGTTGATGATGTTGTTGATGGTGATGTTGTTGATGGTGATGTTGTTGATGGTGATGATGTTGATGGTGTGATGTTGATGGTGATGATGTTGTTGATGGTGATGTTGTTGATGGTGATGTTGTTGATGGTGATGTTGTTGATGGTGATGATGTTGATGGTGATGTTGTTGTTGGGTGATGTTGTTGATGATGTGGTGATGTTGATAATAGTTTTTTTACCCGTTTATCTGGCAAAAAACTGACACCTTTTTTAGAAGGAGTCATGTTTGCATTGACCACAATACCTGCGGTCATATGCATACTCTGATGGTGCATTGTCATTGAGTTGTGCGCCTTTTGGCATCATCTGGTCCAACACCATGTGAGACTGGGCTCTAAGAATAGCTGTCTCGGGTGTGGACTAATCAACTTCAAGTGACAGTGCATACATTATCAGAGTTGTGTTTTTTGTTTGCATTCCGACCGCAGGTATTGTGGTCAATGCAAACATGACTCCTCGTAAAAAAAGGTGTCAGTTTTGTTGCCAGATAAAAGGGTAAAAAAACAATGATCATATTTTTTACTGGCAAATGAGGTTCCAATGGTGTTGTTGATGTTGATGATGGTGTTGATGTTGATGTTGTTGATGTTTGTGTGTTTGTCGTGGCCTGTGAGCAGGGGGGCTACGCTGTGGTGCTGTGTGTTGATGGTGGTGATGTTGTTGATGTTGATGATGTTGATGCTGATGATGTTGTTGATGTTGATAATGATGTTGATGTTGTTGTTGATGGTGATGTTGTTGTTGTTGTGATGTTGTTGTGGTTGCCTGTGAGCAGGGGGGCTACGCCGTGGTGCTGTGTGTTGATGGTGATGTTGATGTTGTTGATGATGATGATGTTGTTGTTGTTGATGTTGTTGTGTGATGATGTTGTTGTGGTTGCCTGTGAGCAGGGGGGCTACGACGTGGTGCTGTGTGTTGATGGTGATGATGATGTTGTTCATGTTGTTGTTGATATTGTTTATGTTGATGTTGTTGTTGATGTTGTTGTTCTTGTTGTTGTTGCCTGTGAGCAGGGGGCTACGCCGTGGTGCTGTGTGTTGATGATGATGTTTTGTTGATGGTGATGGTGATATTGTTGTTGTTGATGTTGTTGTTGTTGTTTGTGAGCAGGGGGGCTATGCTGTGGTGCTGTGTGTTGATGGTGATGTTGTTGTTGATGGTGATGCTGTTGTTGATGTTGATGATGATGATGTTGTTGTTGTTGTTTGTGAGCAGGGGGGCTATGCTGTGGTGCTGTGCGGCCGACGCGACCTGCCCCAGGGGGCGACGCACGCCGAGCTCACACTGAGCTCACACCAACACAGAGACCAGGTGCAGCCCCCCAACACCAACACCACCACTACTAACACCACCACTACTACTAACACCACCACCACTACCCACAACCACCACACCACCACTATCCACCACCACCACCCAACACAGAGACCAGGTGCAGCCCCCCCACCACCACCACAACCACCACCACCACCACTACTACCACCACTACCACCAACACCACCACCACCACTACTACCACTACTACCACCACCACCACCACCACAGTGCCCCACCACCACCACCACCACCGCCCCCCACCACCACTGCCCCCCCCACCACTGCCCCCCACTACTACCCCCACCACTGCCCCCCCCACCACTGCCCCCCACCACTGCCCCCCACTACAAAGCTAAAGACAAAGCTCCCCGTGTAGCCTCTAGCAGGGCTGTAGAGGGGCAAGTTCTGTCTGTAGCGGCAGCAGCGCCTATGAAGGCAGGAACTGTGGCACACGGCGGCGTTGTTGTTGATGTTGTTGTTGCTATGGTTGTTGTTGATGTTGTTGATGTTCTGCTGTGGTTGTTGTGCTATGGTTGATGTTGTTGCTATTGGTTTTGTTGTGATGTTGTTGATGTTATGCTGTGGTTGTTGTTGCTATGGTTGATGTTGTTGCTATGGTTTTTATTCCTATGGTTTGTTGTTGCTATGGTTGTTGATGCTATGGTTGATGTTGTTGCTAAGGTTATTGGTGCTATGGTTATTGTTGCCATGGTTGTGGTCCAGGACATGCCGTGCATTGTGGTCAAGGCGCCATTTCTCGATGTTTACGAACAGATGACAAAAATCCCAGAGAGGTAAACACAACAACAACAACAACCACGACCACCACCACACAATTACAACAACGACCCAACACCACCCACCGACAACTGCAACAAGAAGCACCACAACAACCACCACAACAGAATCACATTATACTGGTAGGAACGAAGTGAACCAGCCTACAATAGATTATTATCGGTCCGTCCATCCGTCCGATGTCCGATTATGTGTAGCAACATCGCCCCCTACTGCAAACACTTGGCAGGACCCTACAAAAACCTTTAGACTCAGTGGGCTTTCCTGGCTAAACAAGTCATAATACATTATGTTTATATTCTTTGGTTATTCGTTCCTATCAGCCCACCCCGCAGGGACCTGTTATTGTTCAGTGGTTGTTGAGTGGTTGTTGAGTGGTTTTGTGTGGTTGTTGAGTGGTTGTTGTGTGGTTGTTGTGTGGTTGTTGAGTGGTTGTTGTGTGGTTGTTGTGTGGTTGTTGTGTGGTTGTTGAGTGGTTGTTGTGTGGTTGTTGAGTGGTTGTTGTGTGGTTGTTGTGTGGTTGTTGTTGGTTGTTGTGTGGTTGTTGAGTGGTTGTTGAGTGTTGTTGTGTGGTTGTTGAGTGGTTGTTGAGTGGTTGTTGTGTGGTTGTTGAGTGGTTGTTGAGTGGTTGTTGTGTGGTTGTTGTGTGGTTGTTGAGTGGTTGTTGAGTGGTTGTTGTGTGGTTGTTGTGTGGTTGTTGAGTGGTTGTGTGGTGTTGTGTGGTTGTTGTGTGGTTGTTGAGTGGTTGTTGTGTGGTTGTTGTGTGGTTGTTGTGTGGTTGTTGAGTGGTTGTTGTGTGGTTGTTGAGTGGTTGTTGTGTGGTTGTTGAGTGGTTGTTGAGTGGTTGTTGTGTGGTTGTTGTGTGGTTGTTGAGTGGTTGTGTGGTTGTTGTGTGGTTGTTGTGTGGTTGTTGAGTGGTTGTTGTGTGGTTGTTGTGTGGTTGTTGAGTGGTTGTTGTGTTGTTGTTGTGGTTGTTGTGTGGTTGTTGAGTGGTTGTTGTGTGGTTGTTGAGTGGTTGTTGAGTGGTTGTTGTGTGGTTGTGTGTGGTTGTTGTGTGGTTGTTGAGTGGTTGTGTGGTTGTTGTGTGGTTGTTGTGTGGTTGTTGTGTGGTTGTTGTGTGGTTGTTGTGTGGTGTTGAGTGGTTGTTGTGGTTGTTGTGTGGTTGTTGAGTGGTTGTTGTGTGGTTGTTGTGGTTGTTGTGTGGTTGTTGAGTGGTTGTGTGGTTGTTGTGTGGTTGTTGTGTGGTGTTGTGTGGTTGTTGTGTGGTTGTTGAGTGGTTGTGTGGTTGTTGTGTGGTTGTTGTGTGGTTGTTGTGTGGTTGTTGAGTGGTTGTGTGGTTGTGTGTGGTTGTTGCAGTGAGATATTTTCAAAAAAAGACCTGAAAATCGTAAATGGATCAGCAGCTTTGGGGTGAGGACATCAACATCGGAATCATCAGCACCACCCATCCACCTACTCACCCACCCACTCACCCACCCACCCACTCACCCACCCATCCACCTACTCACCCCCACCCACTCACCCACCCATCCACTCACTCACCCCCCATCCATTCACCCACCCACCCACTCACCCACCCATCCACTCACTCACTCAACCCCCATCCACCCACTCACCCACCCACTCACCCACTCACCCACCCACTCACTCACTCACCCACTCACTCACCCCCCATCCTCACTCACCCACTCATCCACTCACTCACTCACCCACTCACTCACTCACCCCCCATCCACTCACTCACCCATCCAGTCACTCACCCATCCACTCACTCACCCACCCATCCACCCACTCACCCACCCACTCACCCACTCACTCACTCACCCACTCACTCACCCCCCATCCACTCACTCACCCACTCACCCACCCACTCACCCACCCACTCACCTCATCCCTCACTCACCCCCCATTCACTCACTCACCCATCCACTCACGCACCCACCCATCCACTCACTCACTCACCCACCCACCCAGTCACTCACCCATTCACTCACTCACCCACCCATCCACTCACTCACCCATCCACTCACGTCACCCACCCATCTACTCACCCATCCACTCACTCACCCACCCACGCACCCACCCACTCACTCACCCACCCACGCACCCACTCACCTCACCTCCCCCACTCACCTTCCTCACTCACCAACCCACTCACCCACTCACCCCCCTCTCACCACCCACCCCTCCCCTCGTGGTGAGCAGGAGGCGGCGCTACATTCGCGAATTCTCCTCCGAGCTGCTGGAGGAGGAGGCGGGAGGCAGCAGCGAGTGGTAAACAGCGGCCGGCCCTCACACACAGGCAAAGGTCCCCCCGGTAGCCTCCAACAGGGCTGTAGGGGCAAGTGCTCTGAGTCTCGAGCAGCAGCACAGAGGGGATGGGTGGCCTGCACCACCCTCGCCCACCCGGCCGCCTTTGTCTCCCTAGTGACGATGTTTACTGCACACCGCACCGGGTACTCGTTTTAGGCTGGGGCGACCTAGGGGAGGCCCAGAACCGGTTCAGATAATCGTCACTGGTGTTGGTGGCCGTGAGCACGAATCGAATTTAGGTCGCGAGGTTCCTAGTGTCTCTGTGTGGTCAGTCTGTGGGTCTCTGTGTGGTGAGTGTGGGTCTCTGTGTGGTGAGTCTGTGGTGAGTCTGTGGGTCTCTGTGTGGTGAGTCTGTGGGTCTCTGTGTGGTGAGTCTGTGGGTCTCTGTGTGGTGAGTCTGTGGGTCTCTGTGTGGAGTCTGTGGTCTCTGTGTGTGAGTGTGGGGTCTCTGTGTGGTGAGTCTGTGGGTCTCTGTGTGGTGAGTCTGTGGTGAGTCTGTGGGTCTCTGTGTGGTGAGTCTGTGGGTCTCTGTGTGGTGAGTCTGTGGTGAGTCTGTGGTGAGTCTGTGGGTCTCTGTGTGGTGAGTCTGTGGGTGAGTCTGTGGGTCTCTGTGTGGTGAGTCTGTGGGTCTCTGTGTGGTCTGTGGTGAGTCTGTGGGTCTCTGTGTGATGAGTCTGTGGGTCTCTTGCTTGTGGTCTTGAGTCTGTGGGTCTCTGTGTGTGAGTCTGTGGGTCTCTGTGTGGTGAGTCTGTGGATCTCTGTGTGGTGAGTCTGTGGGATCTCTGTGTGGTGAGTCTGTGGGTCTCTGTGTGGTGAGTCTGTGGGTCTCTGTGTGGTGAGTCTGTAGGGTCCTCTGTGTGGTGAGTCTGTAGGTCTCTGTGTGGTGAGTCTGTGGGTCTCTGTGTGGTGAGTCTGTGGGTCTCTGTGTGGTGAGTCTGTGGGTCTCTGTGTGGTGAGTCTGTGGGTCTCTGTGTGGTGAGTCTGTGGGTCTCTGTGTGGTGAGTCTGTGGGTCTCTGTGTGGTGAGTCTGTGGGTCTCTGTGTGGTGAGTCTGTGGGTCTCTGTGTGGTGAGTCTGTGGGTCTCTGTGTGGTGAGTCTATGGGTCTCTGTGTGGTGAGTCTGTGGGTCTCTGTGTGGTGAGTCTGTGGGTCTCTGTGTGGTGAGTCTGTGGGTCTCTGTGTGGTGAGTCTGTGGGTCTCTGTGTGGTGAGTTTGTGGGTCTCTGTGTGGTGAGTCTGTGGGTCTCTGTGTGGTGAGTCTGTGGGTCTCTGTGTGGTGAGTGTGGGTCTCTGTGTGGTGAGTCTGTGGGTCTCTGTGTGGTGAGTCTGTGGGTCTCTGTGTGGTGAGTCTGTGGGTCTCTGTGTGAGTGAGTCTGTGGGTCTCTGTGTGTGAGTCTGTGGGTCTCTGTGTGGTGAGTCTGTGGGTCTCTGTTGTGGTGAGTCTGTGGGTCTCTGTGTGGTGAGTCTGTGGGTCTCTGTGTGGTGAGTCTGTGGGTCTCTGTGCGGTGAGTCTGTGGGTCTCTGTGCGGTGAGTCTGTGGGTCTCTGTGCGGTGAGTCTGTGGGTCTCTGTGTGGTGAGTCTGTGGGTCTCTGTGCGGTGAGTGTGGGTCTCTGTGAACCTGGGCATCTGTATGTATATCTATGGCTCTCCTCCATGTACATCTCTTTGGATGTCCATGTCTCTCTCTCTGTCTGTGAGAGCAGTGAGGAGTTTGAAGATACCTGCACTACCTCTTACCTCAAATGCTGCAAAACCAACCCCAACATCAATCCAGAGGCTGGGATGCTTTCTGACAGGTAGTGTCACACACACTCACGCACCCGTGTCTAATGAGGGGCGGGCACGATACCTCTGGACAAGCCAAACTCTACAGGGAAGTTGAGTCCCTATGGGAGACGCACCCCAGAGAACATCAGCCAGATTGACCAACGCGTTATTGAACGAGTTGTGTCCGTGTGTAGCGGGGGGACGTGGTAGTTGTGGACACGGCGGTCCCATTTCAGTCAAACTCTGCGTGCCTTTGGGTGGCTCAACCCCGGCCACAATCAGCCACATCCCCCGACGGGTCCCTGAATGAGCCCCGTGTCTCTATGTGTGCGGCGTGACGGGGCACGGTGACTCTGGATTCCATGGTTCAGTTTCAGCCAAACTCGGCAGGACAGTTGAGTCCATATTGGTGATAATGCTGCTCATGCTGCTGCTGCTGATGGTGCTGCTGCTGCTGATGATGATGCTGATGATGCTGCTGATGATGATGCTGCTGATGATGATGCTACTGATGATGATGATGATGATGCTGATGATGATGCTGCTGATGATGATGATGATGATGCTGCTGATGATGATGATGATGCTGCTGATGATGCTGCTGATGATGCTGCTGCTGATGATGATGCTTATGATCTTGATTGTGATGTTGATTGTGATGTTGATTGTGATGTGTTGCAGAGATTCATCGAAGCGAGGAGCCATGAACGGGAAGATTGTGAACTTCATGATGCAGAACACGGAGAGACGTGAGTGGGACTCACGGCGCCGGGACTTGGGGCGGAGAGTCTCACGCAGACCGGTGGTAGTTGTGGTTGTTGTGGTTGTTGTGGTTGTGGTTGTTGATGTGGTTGTTGTTGTGGTTGTTGTGGTTGATGTGGTTGTTGTTGATGTGGTTGTTGTTGTTGATGTGGTTGTTGTGGTTGTTGTGGTTGTTGATGTGGTTGTTGTTGATGTGGTTGTTGTGGTTGTTGTGGTTGTTGTGGTTGTTGTTGATGTGGTTGATGTTGTTGTGGTTGTTGTGGTTGCTGTGGTTGATGTTGATGTGGTTGTTGTGGTTGTTGTTGATGTGGTTGTTGTGGTTGTGGTTGGTGTGGTTGCTGTGGTTGTTGTGGTTGTTGTGGTTGTTGTTGATGTGGTTGCTGTGGTTGTTGTGGTTGTTGTGGTTGATGTGGTTGCTGTGGTTGTTGTGGTTGTTGTGGTTGTTGTTGATGTGGTTGCTGTGGTTGTTGTGGTTGTTGTTGCTGCTCTGGTTCCGCCAGAGTTCCAGTGGCTGGAGCACCTTGAGCAGCACGTGAAGACGCACTTCCCTCTGCACGAGGTCAGCAGCTACAGCACAGACGCGGCTCCTACGTAGAATACGAGTGTCGTTTATAGTGTAGTGTATACTGTAGTGTAGTGTACTGTAGTGTATAGTGTACTACACTCTAGTAGTGTGGTGTATAGTAGTGTAGTGTATAGCAGAGGTGTGGACTCGAGTCATGTGACTTGGACTCGAGTCAGACTCGAGTCATGAATTTGATGACTTCAGACTCGACTTGGACTTGCATAACAATGACTTTGTCCCACCTCTGGTGTATAGTGTAGTGTATAGTGTACTACACTCTAGTAGTGTGGTGTATAGTAGTGTAGTGTATAGTGTCGTGTATTATGTAGTGTATAATAGTGTACCAAATAGTTGCGTAGTGTATAGTTCTGTAGTGTATAGAGTAGTGTATAGTGTACTACACTCTAGTAGTGTGGTGTATAGTAGTGTAGTGCATAGTATAGTGCATAATGTACTACACTCTAGTAGTGTGGTGTATAGTGTGGTGTATAGTAGTGTCGTGTATAATAGTGTAGTGTATAGTGTAGTGTATAGTAGTGTGGTGTATAGTGTGGTGTATAGTAGTGTGGTGTATAGTAGTGTAGTGTATAGTGTAGTGTATAGTGTAGTGTAGTGTGTAGTGTATAGTCGTGTAGTGTATAGTGTAGTGTAGTATATAGTGTAGTGTATAATAGTGTAGTGTATAATAGTGTAGTGTAGTGTGTAGTGTATAGTAGTGTAGTGTATAGTGTAGTGTAGTATATAGTGTAGTGTATAGTCGTGTAGTCAAGTGTCAGGTCAGGCCTTGCTCCTCTACCGTAACAACAGTGGGTGGTGCTGCCTGCAACTGGTCGGTGCCCAGCGTCGGTCAATTCGCCCCGGCACCTTCAAGGGCTTCGGGCGGACGGGCGCTTGGCTTGGGTGGTGGGTCGGGATCGAACCCACGACCTCCCGCGTACGGGGCGAGGCAGATAACATCTCCCAGCCACCCGAGTTACCCACTCTCTACCCCGCCTGGGCGACGTGGCCATTGTGGGCCGCGGGTCGATGTTCATGTCATTATGTTGAGCTGTTCGCTGCTGTCGTTTGTTTTTGTTGACAGAAGCGAATCCGGGATAATCTGATGAAGCGTTGGGGACACATCCGTGCCCTGTTCAAACTGCAGCCCCTCAACCTCGTCAGGTGAACACATCAGCAGCAGCAGCATCATCAGCAGCAGCTGCATCTCTATCAATAGCAGCATCATCAGTAGCAACAAATTAAATCATCATCATTATCATCGTGTGTGTGTGTGCGTGTTCACGTGTGTGCGTGTGTACGCACACGTATGTACACGTGTCTGTGTGTGTGTGTCCACGTGTCTGTGTGTGTCCACGTGTCTGTGTGTGCACGCAGGGCGTACTATGGAGAGCAGGTGTGCATGTACTTTGCGTGGCTGTGTGTGTGTGCGTGGCTGTGTGTGTGTGTGTCTGTGTGTGTGTGTGTGTGCGCAGGGCGTACGATGGAGAGCAGGTGTGCATGTACTTTGCGTGGCTGTGTGTGTGTGCGTGGCTGTGTGTGTGTGCTGTGTGTGTGTGTCTGTGTGTGTGTGTGTGCGCAGGGCGTACTATGGAGAGCAGGTGTGCATGTACTTTGCGTGGCTGGGCTGGTACACCCACATCCTGCTGGTGTCCACCCTGGTGGGACTCGGGGTGTTCCTCTACGGAGTGGCCACCTTCAACTCCAACATGGTCAGGTAGAATCCACCACTCATATCATCCACCGTTCATATAGTCCACCACATGTGTAGATGTATAGTCCACCACCGGTATAGTCAACCGAGGTTATCGTCCACCACTCGTATAGGCCCGGGCTACCTGGGGGAGCTTTGTCTGTTGTCTCCGTGTGTGTGGGGAGTGGTGGCGCTGCGGTTGTCGCTGCACTGTGCCATGAACCTGCCACCCCGAGTTCGATTCCCGCGCACGGACACCAACACCGGTGACGATGATCTGAACTGGTCCTGGGCCTCCCCTAGGTCGACTCAGCCTCAAATGAGTACCCGGTGCGGTGTGTAGTGAACATCGCCAGCACTGGGGAGACGGAGGCGGCTGGGCAGGCGGGCGCGCTACTGGCTACCCAGCCACCCCCTCGTGTGCCACACTGCCGGTGGCCTTCACAGATGCTGCTGCTGCTGCTACTCGCTACTAACAACATGCACTTGCCCCTACACGGGGGACCTTTGCCTCTGTCTTTGTAGCAAGGAGGTGTGCGAAGCGACGGACATTGTCATGTGTCCCCTGTGTGACGAGGGCTGCCACTTCTGGAACCTGTCGGACACGTGCACCTTCGCCAAGGTCAGGCTCGTCACGACCCGCTCGCCTGGGGTTCACAAATGGCCACTAGGTCTATGGGTAGCAGTGGTGAGTCTACGGTGCAGTGTTGAGTCTATGGGCAGTGCTGAGTCTATGGGGCAGTGTTGAGTCTATGGGGCAGTGTTGAGTCTATGGTGCAGTGGTGAGTCTATGGTGCAGTGGTGAGTCTATGGTGCAGTGTTGAGTCTATGGTGCAGTCTTGAGTCTATGGGGCAGTGTTGAGTCTATGGGGCAGTGTTGAGTCTATGGTGCAGTGTTGAGTCTATGGTGCAGTGGTGAGTCTATGGTGCAGTGGTGAGTCTATGGTGCAGTGTTGAGTCTACGGTGCAGTGTTGAGTATATGGGCAGTGCTGAGTCTATGGGGCAGTGTTGAGTCTATGGGGCAGTGTTGAGTCTATGGTGCAGTGGTGAGTCTATGGTGCAGTGGTGAGTCTATGGTGCAGTGTTGAGTCTATGGTGCAGTCTTGAGTCTATGGGGCAGTGTTGAGTCTATGGGGCAGTGTTGAGTCTATGGTGCAGTGTTGAGTCTATGGTGCAGTGGTGAGTCTATGGTGCAGTGTTGAGTCTACGGTGCAGTGTTGAGTCTACGGTGCAGTGTTGAGTCTATGGGCAGTGTTGAGTCTATGGGGTAGTGTTGAGCCTATGGGGCAGTATTGAGTCTATGGTGCAGTGTTGAGTCTATGGAGGCAGTGTTGAGTCTATGGGCAGTGTTGAGTCTACGGTGCAGTGGTGAGTCTACGGTGCAGTGTTGAGTCTATGGCAGTGTTGAGTCTACGGTGCAGTGGTGAGTCTATGGTGCAGTGTTGAGTCTATGGTGCAGTGTTGAGTCTATGGGGCAGTGTTGAGTCTATGGGCAGTGTTGAGTCTATGGGCAGTGTTGAGTCTACGGTGCAGTGGTGAGTCTACTATGGTGCAGTGTTGAGTCTATGGTGCAGTGTTGAGTCTATGGGCAGTGTCGAGTCTATGGTGCAGTGTTGAGTCTATGGTGCAGTGTTGAGTCTATGGGCAGTGTTGAGTCTATGGGCAGTGTTGAGTCTATGGTGCAGTGTTGAGTCTATGGGCAGTGTTGAATCTATGGTGCAGTGTTGAGTCTATGGGGCAGTGGTGAGCCTATGGGCAGTGTTGAGTCTATGGTGCAGTGTTGAGTCTATGGAACAGTGTTGAGTCTATGGTGCAGTGGTGAGTCTATGGGTGCAGTGTTGAGTCTACGGTGCAGTGTTGAGTCTACGGTGCAGTGTTGAGTCTATGGGCAGTGTTGAGTCTATGGGCTAGTGTTGAGCCTATGGGGCAGTATTGAGTCTATGGTGCAGTGTTGAGTCTATGGGGCAGTGTTGAGTCTATGGGCAGTGTTGAGTCTACGGTGCAGTGGTGAGTCTACGGTGCAGTGTTGAGTCTATGGGCAGTGTTGAGTCTACGGTGCAGTGGTGAGTCTATGGTGCAGTGTTGAGTCTATGGTGCAGTGTTGAGTCTATGGGGCAGTGTTGAGTCTATGGGCAGTGTTGAGTCTATGGGCAGTGTTGAGTCTACGGTGCAGTGGTGAGTCTATGGTGCAGTGTTGAGTCTATGGTGCAGTGTTGAGTCTATGGGCAGTGTCGAGTCTATGGTGCAGTGTTGAGTCTATGGTGCAGTGTTGAGTCTATGGGCAGTGTTGAGTCTATGGGCAGTGTTGAGTCTATGGTGCAGTGTTGAGTCTATGGGCAGTGTTGAATCTATGGTGCAGTGTTGAGTCTATGGGGCAGTGGTGAGCCTATGGGCAGTGTTGAGTCTATGGTGCAGTGTTGAGTCTATGGAACAGTGTTGAGTCAATGGTGCAGTGTTGAGTCTATGGGGAAATGATGAGTCTATAGACTCATCTGGTCAATGTAAGGTGTATCTATCTGTACTCCCTACAGGTCGCCCATCTGTTCGACAACAGCGCCACTGTGTTCTTCGCTGTCTTCATGGCCGTTTGGGGTAAATACATCGTCATCAGCAACATCATCATCAGCAGCAGTAGCAGAAACAGTAGCGGTAGCATCATCAGCAGCATCGCCAGCAGCAGTCGCCTTCACAGGAACTGCTACTCGCTCGCAGCACTCGCCCGGACAGTCTGTCAAGGCGACACGGCGGGGGGGGGGGGGTGTCGGGTTTCCAGTGACACCGCCCCCCACTCCTCGTAGGTACTGCTGCTGCTGCTCTATAGCGGCAGCTATTGCCCCTGCAGCCGGCGTTGGCTACCTGGGGGGGTTCTGCAGTGGCGTCTCGCGACATTGCCACTGGGTGGGGCTGTTGTGAGTGACCTCTGAAAAGATGGTGTTCTAATTAAGAAAAACCTCGTCATGTTATTGCCCCCCCCCCCCTTGAAAGTGGTCTAATTGTCTTATCTATCAACGGTAGGTATTTATACAAAACACGAAACAGAACAACAGATCAATCAAATGCTGTCCCCATGACCCTCAGTTCCACACCACACTCTGTCAAAAGCCTAGAGCGTGTAGGCCGTGACCTGCTACGTGTGCAGTTGCACCCTCGCGTTGTGACGTCGTCTCATTACCGCCATGGGCACCTTCTTCACCGCCCTGAACGCGAAGCTGGTCGCAACGAGTGACGGGAAATCTCTCACTGGGACGCCTTCACAGCCGCCCCGAGACCACCCCCAGGCACTAATCAGGCCGTGGTATTGCAGTGGTTTCTAATGTGATCAACTTGAAAGGGTTGTCTTCATTAGGCAATTCACGTTGAAAGAATCATTATATTTGAACATTTGTAAACACAACAAAGCAATTTATAGAATGTTATATGAGAAATAATTTCTCACCTCCAGCTGCTTGGTGGGGCGGCGCCCCAACGCCCCCTAGTGGACGAACGACGCCTGGAGCTGTGTGTGTGTGTCTGTGTGTGTCTGTGTGTGTGTCTGTGTGTGTCTGTATCTGTGTGTCTCTGTGTATGTGTCCGTGTGTGTGTCCGTGTGTGTCTGTGTGTGTCTGTGTGTCTCTGTGTGTGTCCGTGTGTGGTGTCCGTGTGTGTGTCTGTGTGTGTGTCCGTGTGTGTGTCCGTGTGTCTGTGTGTGTATCTGTGTGTGCCTGTGTGTGTGTCTGTGTGCGGCTCATAGCCACAGTGTTTCTGGAGATGTGGAAGCGCTACCGGGCAGTGCTCACCTGCAGGTGGGACCTCCTGGACATGGGGGAGGAGGAGGTGAGTAGGTGGTGGAGGTGGTGGAGGTGGTGGAGGTGGTGGAGGTGGTGGTGGAGGTGTGGATATGGCGGAGTTGGTGGAGGAGGTGGTTGAGGGTTGCTCATTTTTAATACGGTAGAGTGAGGGCTTCTGATGCAATTCCCTCATATTTTTAAAGGACATTTTTCAAACAGGTAGTTTAATATGCTTTCTATGGCAGTACTGGAGGAATTTCTATCTGGTACAGATACAATGCGAGGATGATCGATGCTCGGGTGCAGTCGAGGGATGGCTCCCTATGCTGATAATCTGGTGATTGCTGCTCACTCAGAGGAGGAGTTGGAGGCCCTGCTGCTGAACCTGGAGGGTGCTACTAAGACGTGGGGCCTTGCCATCAGTCCCTCCACAACTAAGCACCTGCCTGGGTATTATGTATCATCAAATACTCCATGCCCTCAACTTCCCATTGGACGGGCAGTTGTGAAGAGAGTGGAGAGGTTTCCATACTTGGGCAGTGTGCATATGACCATCTCCTGGTTTGACAGCAGAGGTCTCACTCCAAATCGGTTGAGCGGCATAATCTTTTCATTGAATATGTAAGGCTGTGTGGAAGCTACCTGGTCCGTTGCTCCACACGAAGCTTCGGGTTCATGGCCACAGTCATTCCCTCCCTTCTCTACGCTTGCAAAACGTGGACACTCCTAATGGAACATCTTCGCCGATTAGAAACATTCAGGCTGGCCTACATATGATCCATCCTGGGTTCAACCAGGCTGGATTGTGTGAGAAGCTCACAAATCCTTGAAAGATCTTAACACAGTCCCATCGGTGAGCTCCTCCGGCAGGCAAGGCTGCGTTGGCTGGGTTATGTAGCCTACATCCCAACTAACCGCATGCCCAAACAGATTTTGTTTGGCCAGATAGAGGGGGCTAAATGGGCGTGACATGGGCTGGAGAACAGATGGAATGATGTGGCATGAGATGATATGCAGCTGAGTGGACTTTCCAATAACTGGTATCAGCGGTGTCAAGATCGGCCTCTATGGAGGAGGCTCGTGAAGGACGCTGCTGCTACTGGGCAGTTGGAGCGACGCTCACAACAATGAGTGGAGCGTCGGGTGGCTAAAACACATCAGTTGTCAAAGTAGGAGGCACAGGTGGTGCATTGGCCACTCATCTCGGTCAGTCGACCCGTGGCACCTGCTGGGTCTGTCCTGTGACCTCCTGCCAGCGGGTGTTCTCAACGTGAACATAGCCTGGCACAAGTCCCATTGTGATGTCACCACCACTTAGTGGCGAATGTCGGTTGTTGCTGATGGTGGTGACTGGTGGTTACTAGAGGTGGTTGTGGTGATGATGGAGATGGTGGTGGTTGAGGTGGTAGTGGTTGAAGTGGTGGTTGTGGGGATGGTGGTGATGGAGGTGGTGGTGATGGTGGTGGAGGTTGAGTTTGAGGTGGTGATGGTAGTTGTGGTGGAGGTGGTGATGGTGATTGGAGGTGGTGATGTTGATGTTGGACGTGGTGATGACGCTGGAGGTGGTGGAGGTGGCATTTGGTGAGTAAGGATGTGGTGGCTCTGCTGATGATGATGTTGCTGCTGCTGATGATGTTGCCGCTGCTGCTGTTGGGTGCCAGGACGAGTTGGTGCTGCGTACGGTGACGCGCCGCTACGTGCCGGGCCGGCCACGCTCGCCCCGCCACAGTGGCACCGCCTTCCAGCATCACCAGCCCCCCTCCTCCTCCTCGTCGCCCTCGGGACTCACGTGCCGCAAGGTCGTCTCGCTGGGCATCATCTCCATCGTCTGCTTCCTCATGGTCGGTGCACGCACGCGCACACGCGAGTACACGTGCACGTGCGCACACATACGCACGCACGTGTAAACACATATGCATGTACCCACACGCGTACACACACGTACGCACGTGTACACACATACGCATGTACACACACGCGTACACACACGTACGCACGTGTACACACATACGCATGTACACACACGCGTACACACACGTACGCACGTGTACACACATACGCATGTACACACACGCGTACACACGTACGCACGTGTACGCACATACGCATGTACACACACTCGAACACACACGCACGCACGTGTGGTGGTGGTGTGCACATCTGTGTGGTGGTTGTGGTGGTTGTGAGCTAGATCTGTGTGCTGTAGATCTGTGTGAAGGTGGTTGTTGTGGTCGTGGTTGCAGTGCAGATCTGTGGTGGTTGTGGTTGCTATATATATCTGTGTGGTGGTTATGGTTGTAGTTGTTGTAGATCTGTGGTGATAGTGGTGGTGATGGTGTAGATCTGTGTGGTGGTGGTGGTGTAGATCTGTGTGGTTGTGGTGGTGGTGTAGATCTGTGTGGTGGTGGTGTAGATCTGTGTGGTTGTGGTGGTGGTGTAGATCTGTGTGGTGGTGTTGATCTGTGTGGTGGTGGTGGTGGTGTAGATCTGTGTGGTGGTGGTGTAGATCTGTGTGGTGGTGGTGGTGTAGATCTGTGTGGTGGTGTAGATCTGCGTGGTGGTGGTGGTGTAGATCTGTGTGGTGGTGGTGTAGATTTGTGTGGTGGTGGTGGTGTAGATCTGTGTGGTGGTGGTGGTGTAGATCTGTGTGGTGGTGTAGATCTGCGTGGTGGTGGTGGTGTAGATCTGTGTGGTGGTGGTGATGTTGATCTGTGTGGTGGTGGTGGTGTAGATCTGTGTGGTGGTGGTGTAGATTTGTGTGGTGGTGGTGGTGGTGGTGGTGGTGTAGATCTGTGTGGTGGTGGTGGTGTAGATCTGTGTGGTGGTGTAGATCTGCGTGGTGGTGGTGGTGTAGATATGTGTGGTGGTGGTGGTGTTGATCTGTGTGGTGGTGGTGGTGTAGATCTGTGTGGTGGTGGTGGTGGTGTAGATCTGTGTGGTGGTGGTGTTGATCTGTGTGGTGGTGGTGTTGATATGTGTGGTGGTGGTGTAGATCTGTGTGGTGGTGGTGTAGATCTGTGTGGTGGTGGTGGTGTTCTGTGTGGTGGTGGTGGTGTAGATCTGTGTGGTGGTGGTGGTGTAGATCTGTGTGGTGGTGGTGGTGTAGATCTGTGTGGTGGTGGTGGTGTAGATCTGTGTGGTGGTGGTGGTGGTGGTAGATCTGTGTGGTGGTGGTGGTGTAGATCTGTGTGGTGGTGTAGATCTGTGTGGTGGTGGTGGTGTAGATCTGTGTGGTGATGGTGGTGTAGATCTGTGTGGTGGTGGTGTAGATCTGTGTGGTGGTGGTGGTGGTGTAGATCTGTGGTGGTGGTGGTGTAGATCTGTGTGGTGGTGGTGGTGGTGTGGATCTGTGTGGTGGTGGTGTAGATCTGTGTGGTGGTGGTGGTGGTGTAGATCTGTGTGGTGGTGGTGTAGATCTGTGGGTGGTGGTGGTGGTGGTGTAGATCTGTTGGTGGTGGTGGTGTAGATCTGTGTGGTGGTGGTGGTGTCGATCGTGTGGTTGTGGTGGTGTAGATCTGTGTGGTGGTGGTGTAGATCTGTGTGGTGGTGGTGTGGATCTGTGTGGTGGTGGTGTAGATCTGTGTGGTGGTGGTGGTGGTGTAGATCTGTGTGGTTGTGGTGGTGTAGATCTGTGTGGTGGTGGGTGTAGATCTGTGTGGTTGTGGTGGTGTAGATCTGCGTGGTGGTGGTGGTGTAGATCTGTGTGGTGGTGGTGGTGTAGAGCTGTGTGGTTGTGGTGATGGTGGTGGTGGTGTAGATCGTGTGGTGGTGGTGTAGATTTGTGTGGTGGTGGTGTAGATCTGTGTGGTTGTGGTGTAGATCTGTGTGGTTGTGGTGTAGATTTGTGTGGTGGTGGTGGGTGGTTGTAGATCTGTGTGGTGGTGGTGTAGATCTGTGTGGTGGTGGTGTAGATCTGTGTGGTGTGGTGTAGATCTGTGTGGTTGTGTGTAGATCTGTGTGTGGTTGTGGTGTAGATTTGTTGTGGTGGTGGTGTAGATCTGTGTGGTTGTGGTGGTGGTGTTTATTCTGTGTGGTTGTGGTGGTGGTGGTCTTGATCTGTGTGGTTGTGGTGGTGGTGTAGATGTGTGGTGGTGGTGGTGGTGTAGATCTGTGTGGTGGTGGTGTGGATCTGTGTGGTGGTGGTGTAGATCTGTGTGGTGGTGGTTGTGTTGATCTGTGTGGTTGTGGTGGTGGTGTAGATCTGTGGGTTGTGGTGGTGGTGGTGGTGGTGGTGTAGATCTGTGTGGTGGTGGTGTTGATCTGTGTGGTTGTGGTTGTGGTGGTGGTGTAGATCTGTGGTGGTGGTGGTGGTGGTGTAGATCTGTGTGGTGGTGTGTTGATCTGTGTGGTGGTGGTGGTGTGTAGATATGTGTGGTGGTGGTGTTGATCTGTGTGGTGGTGGTGGTGGTGTAGATATGTGTGGTTGTGGTGGTGGTGGTGTTGATCTGTGTGGTTGTGGTGGTGGTGGTTGTGGATCTGTGTGGTTGTGGTGGTGGTGGTGGTGTAGATCTGCGTCGAGATCGTTGCTGCGTACGCTATCGTGGCCTACCGCGTCCTCATGCGGGACGTGCTCTCACGGAGAGTGGAGCCCGGATTCTTCCGCAACAACGCCGGCCTCGTGGTGGTGGGGAGCGGAGCCATCCTCCACTTCCTGCTCATCCAGTGCATGAACAAGGTGATGGTCGCGCTCATGTGCTGATGGTGGTGGTTATGGTGGTGGTGGTGATGGTGGTGGTGATGGTGGTGGTAATGGTGACGGTGGCGGTGATGGTGATGATGGCGGTGATGGTGACGGTGGCGGTGATGCTGATGGTGGTGGTGATGGTGGTGGTGGTGATGGTGGTGGTGATGGTGGTGGTAATAGTGACGGTGGCGGGTGATGGTGATGATGGCGGTGATGGTGGCGGTGATGGTGATGGTGGTGGTGGCAGTGAAAGTCGCGGTGATGGTGATGGTGGCGGTGATGGTGATGATGGCGGTGATGGTGGCAGCGGTGATGGTGGTGGCAGTGATGGTGGTGATGGTGATAGGGGTGGTGATGGTGTTGGTGATGGTGATAGGGGTTATGGGAGTGATGGTGATGATGGGAGTGATGGGGGTGATGGTAGTGATGGTGGTGAGGATGTTGGCAGTGGTGGTGAGGTTGGTGGTAATGTTGTTGATGTTGTTGTTGCAGGTGTGCGGCATTGTGGCCTCAAAATTGGCAAACATCGGTGAGATTCCTGATCCAGACATCACCACCACCACCATCATAATCAACAACAACTGCCATTCGCCACTAAGTGGCGGTGACATCACCACGATACTTTTGCCAGGCTATGTGCACGTTGAGGCCATGTGAAGTGTCGAACGCCCACTGGCAGGAGGTCACGAATGCCTCCAACTGCCAGTAGCGTCCTTCACGAGCCGCCTCCACAGAGGCCGATCTTGAAACTGCTGATACCAGTCATCGGCAAAGTCCACTCAGCTCCACATCCTCTTATACCACCATCACTCCATCTCTTTTCTAGCCCACGCGGCGCCCCTTTAGCCCCCTCTATCCTGCTGAACAAAAGCTGTTTAGGCATGTGGTGACTGGGCATGTGGACTACATGACCCAGCCAACGCAGCCTTGCCTGCCGGCGGAGCTCACTGATGGGATTTGTGAGCTCCTCACACAATGCAGCCTGGTTAAACCCAGGATGGATCGTAGGCAGGCCAGCCTAAATTGTTTCTAACTGGCGAAGATGTTCCATTGGGGGTGCAAGCATAGAGAAGGGAGGGAATGACTGTGACCGAGAAGACCTGAAGCTTCGTGTGGAGCGAGAGGAGCGACAGACCAGTCGCTTCCATACAGCGTACGCAGCCAGCACAAATATAATTCCACTCGACTGATGTGGATGTGAGACTTCTGCTGTCAACCGGAGCTGGCCATGAGCACACTGCCCAGGTTAGGAAACTCTCCACTCCCCCCACAACTGCCCCATCACCAATGGGGAGTTGAGGGGGTAGAACTTTTTAGGCACAAAATACCCAGGCAGGTGCTTAGTTTTGGATGGGCTGAGGGAAGGCCCCATTTCTTAGTGTCTCACTCCAGGTTCAGCAGCAGCACCTCCAACTCCTCCTCTGAGCGAGCAGCAATCACCAGATCATCGGCATACGTAACTGGTTGGCCAATAGGGAGCCATCCCTTGACCGCACCCCGGGCACCGATCAACCTCGCATTGTATCTGTACCAGATGGAGTTTCCTCCAGTACAGCCAATAGAAGCTTCACAAACTAAATAGTAAAAAAAGATGTAAAATAATGTGGGAGCAGCGGATATCCCTGTCACACCCCAAGGTGAACGGGGAATGGCTCCGACTGCTGGCCACATCGCTTTACCCAGGCCTGCCCACCACCATGAAGGCCTTTCATGATTTTGAGTAGAGAGTCGGTGACTCCAAAGGCATGATGAACAACTCGAGCCCAGGCCTATTGATGGTATCATAGGCCTTGCCCAGGTCAATAAAGCAGAGATGCAGGTCCTGTGGGAATTCCCTACACAAATGGCACCTTCCTCACTATTTCGCTTTGGAGATCATCTCTGCCTGGCACTTTTCCTGGTCTCAGACTTTGGATCACCTGTTTTACTTCCTCAACAGATGGCACTTCAGCCAGCCCTCACAGGGGGTGACAACTTCTGCAATTTTTGAGGGCACCGCAGCCTCGGCAGGGTCATCCCCACTTTGCCCCATGATGTTTTCCAGTTTGAGCGATTTTCCTTCTCCCAAGACGGCTCTCCGAAACTCCGAGCAAGGCTGCGGTAAGCCTCCTCCAATCTCTGATGTGGGATGCTGTATATGGTGAGAGTGGGCCTGTCGCTTTTTTCTCAGCCAGCCGGAACACCTCCTCTGTCAGCCAGGGTCTCTGGCTCACAGAGCAGCCATTGCAGCTGCATGAGCCCACAGTCCTAAACCTCGCCCATTTCCTCTCGGTTTACAGGAGGAGAGGGGGGGGGGGCGATGCCAACCCCAGCTACAAGCAACCATGAAATTATCGCTTCCAACTTTCGTAAGCTAACTGAGGACCAGGCCACTGTGGGTTTGAATTGGGCCCTAGATGTACACCCACCACCGGAAGTAGAAGAATGGCAGTCACATCATAATCCTCACCACCACCATGTTTATGTGTCTTTGCTGGCCACCTACCCCCTCGTGTGCCAAGCCGGCCTTCATCGGGGCTACTACTCGCTCACAGCCCTTGCACCCAACAGTCTGTTCCAGGCTATCGGGGTCTTTGTCTTCGTATGTAGTATGTGTGTGCTCGCTAACAACACCTTGCCCCTACATCCTATTGAAGGCTATCTGGGGGAACCCTTTGCTGTGGTGTTGCGACAGGGAGCGTGTCGCGGAGAGAAGAGGGAGCGACGATTCTGCATCTTCATCTTCATCTTCCAGTTCTATTCACCAACTTCAGCTCCCCTCTTCTACGTGGCGTTCTTCCTGGGCAGGTGCAGAGGACACACGTCATCTGACACACACACAGAGACACACGCGGCCATCTTGACACACACGAGGACACCGTGGCCACTCGTGACACACACAGAGACCACGCGGCCAATTTGGGACAGCACACAGAGACACACGCGGCCATCTTGACACACACAGAGACGCACGCGGCCATCGTGGACAACACACAGAGACGCACGCCATCGTGAAGCTGCTGCTGCTGCTGCTATGGACTGTGGGCAGCTGCTGATCCTGGTCTCTGCTGCGTGCAGGTTCATAGGGAGACCTGGCAACTACGCTCGCTGGTTTCAGTTGTACCGCCTAGAAGAGGGAGCGTGTGTACACACATCACTGAAGACAAAGCTCCCCCGTGTAGCCCAACCAGACTGTAGGGCAAGTGCTGTTAGTAGGGCACGCGGGCGGGTGGCTAGGAGATATCATCTCCCTCGCCTGGGACGCAGGAGGTCGTGGACTCGACGCCGAGCCTGACTGGCTGCGCCTGCCGCCGTCTATTTGGCGTCTGCGTCTCTCTCCCCTGTCGTGGCGTCTGCGTGGATTGTCTCGAGCTCCTCCGGATTTTGCTCTCCACGTTTAGAATCAAACGTCACGTTTAGGTATTTGGCTGCGGTGTTAAATGTTCAGATGAGATATCAGCCACGTGGTAGAGCGATCATTTGTGATGGCAAGGTCGCTTGTCTGGTAAAAACACCAAATTAGTTGATGTTATCATGTGGGCTCGATGCGTACGGGTCTCTATGGTTCTATATGGAGTGTCTGGATCTCCCTTGGATCTATGGGTCTCTATGGGTCTCTGTGTGGTCTCTAGGGATCTCTTTGGGGTCTATGTCGGCCTCTGAGTCTCTGTAGGTCTATTAGTCTCTATTCATCTCTGTGGGTCCCTATGGATCTATATGAGTCTGTATCTCTGTGTCTTTGGCTCTGTGGTCTTTGAGTCTCTGTGGGTCTCGGTGAGTCTTTGTGGGTCTACGGGTCTCTGTGTGTGTGTATCTGTGTGTGTGCGTGTGTATTGTTTGTGAGGCTGGCCTGCCTCGATCCATCTTGGGTTTAATAAGTCTGGATTGTGTGAGGAGCTCACAAATCCTTGAAAAATCTGGACCACATTTTTCATCCGTGAGCTCCTCCAGCAGGCAAGCTGCGTTGGCTGGGTCATGTAACCCACATGCCCAGCCACCACATGCCCCAGCCACCGCTTAATGACCAGCCACACGCATGCCCCAGCCACCGCTATGCCCAGCCACCGCTATGCCCAGCCACCGCATGCCCAGCCACCGCATGCCCAGCCACCGCATGCCCAGCCACCGCATTCCCAGCCACCGCATGCCAGCCACCCGCATGCCAGCCACCGCATGCCCAGCCACCGCATGCCCAGCCACCGCGTATGCCCAGCCACCGCATTGCCCAGCCACCGCTATGCCCCGCCACCGCATGCTCAGCCACCGCATGCTCAGCCACCGCATGCCCAGCCACCGCATGCCGAGCCACCGCATGCCCAGCCACCGCATGCCCAGCCACCGCATGCCCAGCCACCGCATGCCCAGCCACCGCATGCCCAAGCAGGTTCTGTTTGGCCACATAGAGGGAGGCTGAACATGCACAACACGGACTGGAGAAGAGACGGACTGATGCGGTAATGGAGGATGTGGAGCCGAGTGGACTGGCCGATGACTGGTGTCAAGATCGGCCTCTGTGCAGGAGGCCCGTGAGGCAATAACTGAGGGCAGAGGAGCGACGCTCACAACAACGTGCGGCGCGCCGGGCGGCTAAATTGCAGCAAGATGGCACAGTAGGGGGGGTACAGCTGGTGCATCTACCGGTCATCTCAGTCAGCCGACCCGTGGCACCTCAGTCCTTCCTGGATCCTCCTGCCAGCGAGCCTCCGACACTTCACGTGGTCTCAACGTGCACCTGACCTGGCACAGGCGCCGTGGTGATGTCACCATCACTCAGTGGCGGTTCTATTGGTGTGTCTGTGTGTGTCTGTGTGTGTCTGTGTGTGTGTCTGTGTGTGTCTGTGTGTGTGTCTGTGTGTGTGTCTGTGTGTGTGTGTCTGTGTCTGTGTGTGTGTGTCTGTGTGTGTGTGTCTGTGTGTGTCTGTGTGTGTGTGTGTGTGTGTGTGTCTGTGTGTGTCTGTGTGTGTGTGTGTGTCTGTGTGGGTGCTGTGTGTGTGTGTGTGTGTGTGTCTGGTGTGTCTGTGTGTGTCTGTGTGTGTGTCTGTGTGTGTTGTGTGTCTGTGTGTGTGTGTCTGTGTGTGTGTGTCTGTGTCTGTGTGTCTGTGTCTGTGTGTGTGTGTCTGTGTCTGTGTGTGTCTGTGTGTCTGTGGTCTGTGTCTGTGTGTGTGTGTCTGTGTGTGTCTGTGTGTGTGTCTGTGTGTGTGTGTGTGTCTGTGTGGTCTGTGTGTGGTGTCTGTGTGTGTGTGTCTGTGTGTGTGTGTTGTGTGTCTGTGTGTGTCTGTGTGTGTGTCTGTGTTGTGTGTGTGTCTGTGTGTGTTGTCTGTGTGTGTCTGTGTGTGTGTCTGTGTGTTGTGTGTGTCTGTGTGTGTGTGTGTTGTGTTTGTGTGTCTGTGTGTGTGTGTCTGTGTCTGTGTGTCTGTGTCTGTGTGTCTGTGTGTGTGTGTCGTATGTGTGTCTGTGTGTCTGTGTGTGTCTGTGTGTGTATGTGTCTGTGTCTGTGGTGTGTGTGTCTGTGTGTGTGTGTCTGTGTGTGTGTCTGTGTGTCTGTGTCTGTGTGTGTGTGTCTGTGTGTGTCTGTGTGTGTGTGTGTTTGTGTTTGTGTGTCTGTGTGTGTGTGTGTCTGTGTGTCTGTGTGTGTGTGTGTCTGTATGTGTGTCTGTGTGTGTCTGTGTGTGTATGTGTCTGTGTGTGTCTGTGTGTGTGTGTCTGTGTGTGTGTGTGTCTGTGTGTGTGTACGCAGTGCCACCCCAGTGGATGCCTCATCGACCTGTGTGTCCAGATGGCCATCGTCCTCCTCCTGAAGCAGCTCTTCAACAACGCCTTGGAGTTCGGCCGCCCGTTAGCATCACAACCACTACAACACCACCACAACAACAACAACCACCGCAACAACCACCACAACAACCATCATCATCATCGCTAAAGTCACAACGACCACTACCACCACAACAACTATAACCACCATAACAACAACAACCACCATCATCTATAATCTTAACAACCATGACGACAACAACCACCACCAGCATCATAACCATCACGACTACAACCATGATACTGATGCTGCTGCTGATGATGATGCTGTTGATGATGATGCTGTTGATGATGATGCAGCTGATGATGCTGCTGTTGTTGATGATGATGATGCTGTTGATGATGATGCTGCTGATTATGATGCTGTTGATGATGATGCTGCTGATGCTTTTGATGATGATGATGCTGCTGATGATGCTGTTGATTATGATGCTGCTGATGATGCTGTTGATGATGATGATGATGCTGCTGCTGATGATGATGATGCTGCTGATGATGCTGTTAATGATGATGCTGTTGATGATGCTGTTGATGATGATGCTGCTGCTGATGATGATGCTGCTGATGATGATGCTGTTGATGATGCTGCTGCTGATGATGCTGTTGTTGATGTTGATTATGCTGATGATGCTGTTGATGATTCTGCTGATGATGCTGCTGATGTCGCCCCAGCTTCTGCTGCCGCAAGTTTGGTGGTTTGAGGGGGGGGGCCCAGGGGGGGGCCGAGGGGGCGCCCCCGTGGGGGGCTGGGAAGACGACCTCCGCCTGGAGGAGCCTCCAGAGTACTTCCTCGCTTACGAGTACCTCGAGATGGGTGAGTACCAGCAGTAGTACCAGCAGTAGCCCATCAGCAGTAGTACCAGCAGTAGCACCATCAGTAGTACCATCAGTACCAGCAATAGTACCATCAGTAGTACCAGCAGTAGTACCATCAGTAGTACCAGCAGTAGCACCATCAGCAGTAGTACCAGCAGTAGCACCATCAGCAGTAGTACCATCAGTAGTACCAGCAGTAGTAACAGCAGTAGTACCATCAGCAGTAGTACCATCAGTAGCACCAGCAGTAGTACCAGCAGTAGCACCATCAGCAGTAGTACCATCGGTAGTACCAGCGGTAGTACCAGCAGTAGCACCATCAGCAGTACCATCGGTAGTACCAGCGGTAGTACCAGCAGTAGTACCATCAGTAGAACCATCAATAGTACCAGCGGTAGTATCATTAACTTCAGCACCAGCAACATCAGCGCTATCATCAGCTGCTGCTGCCTTCGATGATGATGCTACTGGCGATGAATGATGATGCTGATGATGATACTGGCGATGATGATGATGCTGATGATGATACTGGCGATGCTGCTGCTACTGCTGATGATGATGCTACTGGCGATGATGATGATGCTGTTGATGATGATGCTAGTGGCGATGATGATGATGCTGTTGATGATGATG